CATGGCTCCCTTTCCCTGCTGGAGAGAATCCTGCCCCAGGCTATGGAACTTCAGGTCCTGGAAGGGGAACTTTGCAAGTGCTGGAAGTGACCCTGGAGGTCATCTAGTCCACCCCTGCCGAGTCCAGATTTAAAGAACGTTCAGCTCTTCTCCGCTATCCAGCCTAAACAAGCAAGGCTAAATTGACAAGAATGGTGTCTGGAGAAGTTTACTCTGTAAACTGAATCCGCACTTTCCCCACGGCTGTGTCAACAAAGCAGTCGATGGGCTTGCAAGGTGTGCTTAAGTAGGCCATCTAAAGACTCCATGGCTAGATTTATAAATCATGGTGAGACTCACTGGGCTAGAAGGGGGTTGGGTAGTTGGTGATTCAGCACCTGGCCAGAATCACCCCTCCAGTTAACTTCAAAATAGTTTGGGTTAATTGTTCAGTGGGGTAGCCCTGCTTTTCTGCCATCTGCCGCCAAATCCTCCCATACGTGGTTCTGGCTGGGTTCTAGCGTATCGTGTGAACCATCCAGTGTGTCAGGTGTAGCCACCTGGGACTTCTGTTAAACGTACGCCCTGGCCGCACCGTTCCTCTCGTAAACTGATGTCCAGAAGAATGTCAAAGCAGATTATCTCTTGGCGGGAGCACGTTCCTAGGAGAAAGCCTCAGCAGGGCTCCCACAAGCAGTCCTGGGGACTCTTGGCTCAGCTTCTGCCATCCTGCCTGTTTCGACCATACCCTGTGGACATCCTTGAAAGTGCTGCTCTTTGCTGGAATTCCTGGAATAGGAGCTCCAGGGAGGGCAACTAGGTTGGAAGGGTAAAATGTCATCCTTGTGCTCCAGACTGCCAGAACAGTCGCTGCCTGTTGCCATCCCAAGGAGTCTGTGCCCGTTTAGGTCACCTCGGGTGCGATGGTCTTCCTTTGTCCTTCCTTTTCCTTCTCTTTCAGATGCTTTTGGTGCCTGAATATAAAACCCGCCTGTGCAGCCTTCACTTCAAGACTACCCTGCAGGAGAAGGTGGAGGAGATCACCGCCAGCTATGAGTGCATCTACAACGCTTCCCTGGAACTGAAGAACAGCAAGAAACTGGCAAAGATCTTGGAGGTCTGTCAAACGTCCTTGTTCTGGGAGCAGCCACTAGGGGGCAGCCATCTTCTACTCAGCCACCCCCTGGCAGCTCCCAGACTTCTGGGGTGTGAATAAGCCCCACCAGCTGCCTTGGATGTCTGCAGGACGTTGCTATTCTTTGTGGTTCTTCTTGTTTTCCCAGTGTTTCTTTCACCTCTTTTGACATCTCAAAGCCCCTGATTTTTCTGGAAGGAACTGAAGGGAAGGTCATCCTGGCAGAGTCTTCTTCCTGTAGGCACCTCTAATGTCTTGGTCTCCAACTCCTATCATCCCCAGCAAAGGCCATGCTGGTTGGGATGATGGCAGTCGGAGGCCAAGAGCTCTGGACAGCTGCTGTAGCTCAGCCCTTTTGTCTTTTGCAGAAGTGCTTTGGATGGCCTACTTTGCCGGGCCGGTGATACTGAGGGATTGCTTAGATTTTGGCCCTTCCCCACAAGGAGGGAAGCGTGGAAGGCTAGAATTCTGGTGAGACGTATCCTATGGCCCTGGTTTTTCCCTGCCTGGAGCTCGCTAGGGTTACAGTTCATTTACTTTAGCCCTGTGTTGGGCAATCCCTAGGAAGTAAATGTGCTGTACCAGGAAAGCTTGGCTGTGCTGCTGCCCAGATGTTCTGGGGCTTAGGTCTGCCCCCTCTCTCCAATGTGCAAGGTAATTTGGAGCCCCAGAGGGACAAAACAGCTTGGAAAGGCTATTTGGAACCGAAAGCAGAGGGGGCTTAGGCTTCTTCCCCCCCCCCCAGCTGTTCCTCTGTCCCAAATGCCCCCAAGTTGTCTTCCTTTGCAGAGAAACAGCTCTGGAGCTTCAGGACATGCATTAACCTGTAACAGAGAGTGGCCCCCAGGAGCAAAAGAGGCAGAGGCAAGGAAGAATCCCAAATGATGCCTTGCACCCACTTAAAAGGCCGTAAATAACACCTGGTTAACAGCTCAGTCCTTTGCTGGCTATCAATTAACTCAGAGTTAGGAGGGAAGCTCGTTGCTTGGTGAGCTAGAATCCAGCCGCCAGCCCAGGGGGCCCTCTGTCCTCATCACTCCTGCAGACCTGGAGCTCCCCTGGGCCCCAGAGCGAGGAAGAAAGGGAGGGCTGGTCATTCCCACGCATGGAAGCTGACCTGGCTCTCCAGTGGTGGACTAAGGGCAGGGGCTTCAGTGCCTCCTGGAGCTGGGCCAGCTTCTGGGCATTCTTTGGAGGCCTGCTGTGTAAGCCCCCTGGAAGTGAGGAGGTGGGGGATCTACCCTGGGGCCCTCCAGATGTATAGGGCCTTGGGCCATGGTTCTTCCCCAGTAGCTCCTCTATGAATAATCAGCCAGGCCCTCCAAGCGCTTGCCTCTTCTGATCCCCAGAGCCTCGCTTGAGCAACCAGCTCGGTTCGCACAACACCCTGAGGGCTGTTCTGCATCACAGCACCAAAATATGCTATCCTGGCGAAAATAGGAAGGGCTGCACTTCTGACCCCTCCTCTGCCTTGGGAATGAAGCAAATGGGGGCTCTGCCCACACCAGAAGTGGGGCGGGGGGAGGAGAGAGATGGCATGGAGAATGTCAACTGGGGCAGCGCCAGGCCCAGGGCTCTCCCACTGGCAGCCCTGGATCCAACAGCATGACTCAGAGAACTGGTCACCGAGGACTGCGCTCTCTGCTTCTCTCCCCATGGGTGGCAGGGAAAGTGGCCAAGGACAGAGTGGGAGGGGAAGGTTTTCGCGGACTTCTCCCCACTCCGGAAGCACCAGTTTGCTCCCCTGAGTGTCACCCAGGGCCCCCCAGTGAAGTTGCCACAGGGGTCACTGCAGGGGTGAGGGCAGCAGAGCCACCGAGAAGCTGTGCCGGCTGTCCCTTAGTGCTGACGGCAGAAGAGCAGCGGCTTTCTGTCGACAGCCCAGCGACACGGCTTGTGCCTGATCCTGGCAAGGGGCTTTTCAGACAGGCGCCTGTGGGCTTCCAGAAGCCCCGTGGGGAGAACGTCAGGGCCTCTCCCATGACTGCACCCAAGCCATGGGGTGGCCGAGCTGTAAAGGAAGGTGGAACGACCGTGCCTCTGGGGAGGAGCGGATGGACCGTTAAGGAAGGAGAAATGGCCACTCGGTCCTGGGAGAGCGGAAGGTGTGAGAAAGAAACTCAGAATAGCCCAAACCTGACAGGCCTTCAAGATGCTATTATTGTACCCAACCACGCTAAGATGGCCTGCGTGGAGGCCTTTTAGGGTCTGCTCCTTGACCTGGTCTGCCTCAAAAGGCTGACAGGAGCTGGAGAGCAGAAATGCTGCTTCCCCTTAATTCCCCCCTCCCAGTTTTGGCCACAGCGACAAGGATCGTGCTTGACCTGGATCCTGCAGCATTCCAGAAGACCGTTGACATCCTTAAGGGGAACGGGTCCAGCCGTCTTCCAGAAGAGGCAGGGGAGTATGGGTCCTTTACGGCAGAGATTGGCAGCAGAAGACCACGACCCCTTCCCGCCTTCTGTGGGGAAAGTGGCCTCGTTGTTGCTGGTAGAGCCGGCACTCAAAAAACGAGCGTTCCTTTCTCTTCCGCTTCTCCTGCCACCCGGGGGGAGCGCTAAATCTCAAAGGCTCTGAAAATCAGGGCAGGGGCCATGGGGGGCCGTGCCCTCGGGAGCCTCAGCTGGCCCATAGCAGCAGGGCAGCCCCCCCCCCGCACGTTCCTTCAGCACAGTTAGCTGTGCGCTGACTGGCTCGTCCCAGCAGAAGCTGGAAGAGGCCATGTTTAAGATGTGCGGAGGGTGCTTTAATATAGGACCGCTGCCAGCCCTTCGAGGTAGGCCAGGTCAGGGAACAGACACCAGAAAGACTGTTGGAACCCTGTTGTTGTAGGGCACAATGCCAGAACCTTGAAAGCCTGTCCATTTCCCTCCGCCCCTTTCCCACATGCGATCAAGACAGGGTTATTTTGAGTCTCTTCCTTATGCTAACTGCTTTCCCATGAGTGAGATTTCATTTACTCTCTTTTATCTGTATTAGTGTATTAGTGGCCTCCACATTCCCTCGCTATCCGCCTCCTTCTACAGCTGTGGGTGTCAGGATCTACTCTGACAGTGGGTGATGGAGGGTAATGCTACGCAATCTTGTCCTCATTTGCACCCGGGATGCGTTCAGCCTCATGTTATCCACCTGTATTTCAGCTTGCATGTTGTGCAAACATAGCCAGTATGGTATGTCTGTGGCTTGGTGTATTGTGCAAACCATGACAGTTCGGTTGCGTAACCTATGGTTGACTGTGATTTTGTGAGAACTCACAGTATTTCCCTCTGATACTTACTTTGCTCATGTGCAGCATCTCCAGGCGAAAAGGAGAGGCGCAATGTGGTCTGGAGGCAGAGGCAGAGGCTGGACCAGGTGGCCACCGAGCCCCTTTACAATTCCCACTTCTCTGGGATGCAGCTGTTAGAATCGTCATCTCAGTGTCTTCAGCTGCCTCATATCTAGTCTGTAAAAACTGAGCCAGACATTGCCTCTTCTGGCTGGGCTCTGTGACAGGCAGGAATCCTGTGTGTGCAGTGAGACCCGCCATATCTCTGCCTGTGGTGTCAGCCAGGGCTGAATCATGTTAATGATGCTGCTGATGCCTGTCGGCCAGGTTCAGCAGCAGCTGGTAGGGCAGAAATGGGAAGAGAGGTAATTGGTGGTTTTCTCTGATCTGTGATTCACCAGAAACTTTCTTTGCAGTTTGTACTGGCCATGGGGAACTACTTAAACCACGGGCAACCCAAAACCAACAAAACAACCAGCTTTAAAATCAACTTCCTCACAGAGGTATGTAGGTTCCAAAGCTGGCTAGATGGATGCTCTCCTTGGGGTATCGATTATGCGTCATCAAGCCTTAGCGTCCACGTAGATAGGCCTTCTCCAGGATGTTCTCCCCCACAACCTGCTCCTTCAGGTCTCCCAATGGTGCACCTGCTGCTGCTGTAACGCAGTCCATCCCCTTGGCTGCTGGTCATCCTCTTCTTCTCTTTCCCTCCGCCTTTCCCAGCCCGAGGGCTTTCTCCAGAGAGCGAAGTCCTTGCATAATGGATCCCAGAAGGAGTGAACTGAATATGTTGAACTCCACAATCAAGCTGTCTCTCTGTTTATATTAATATTTATATTTCTCTAATGCCTGGGCCAGACAGAGATCCAGACGCAGGGTGCTATTTATTGGTGTGTTTCACTGCTAACCAGTCTGGGAAACTACCTGCAACTTCAGTGTATCCTGTAGGTTTCAGAGGTGTCTCCAGGGGAGTGGTGTGTGAAAAACATCAAGATGGTAGCTTTGATGAACCCTAAGTCATGGCTGCCGTCTTGACTCATTTGAGTTAATCTTGTAGCCTTAAATTCTGCAAATGTGAATGCCGCTCTTAAAGCCACCTCCTTCCCAGACTCCCCGGGAAGCCTAAACAAAATCAGACGGCTTTAATGAATGGTCCAGAAAGGCACTGGGCTCTCAACAGGTCCAAAGCACATTTTCCAAATAATTTTCAAAGAGTTGAATTACTGCCTGGTGATTTACATTGTAGACAATGTTCCTCTCTGGATTTGCAAAAAGGTTTTCAGAAACTGAATGCATCTGCTTGGAGGCTTGGAAAAAACCTCCCTCTTGTTTTTTCACTCAGGAAAATGAATTTGTCGGTGAGCGAGGAAGGCTTTCATTTTCCACATTTCTACCTCAAGAAGATCTTTCTTGGGGCAATAACTGGCAAACTGCCTACAGGGACATTTGTCCTCATGGGGGTCATCTGGGAATTGCATCTGATCCCTCTTGAAAGTTGGGTCCGGTGGTCTTGGAAAGCACCAAATTCCCTGCTTCCTCTAGTAGCCATCAGAGGATGTGAGCCTACTCAGTCAACATGATGGCGGAATCTACTCTCCCCAATAGCAAGGCAATGTATCGTTGGGCAGAGTGCATTACCAGGGCTGCAAGATTAACTTCGTTATTGAAAGAGTTCCCTCTAATTTTCACTTGCCAAAAAGTGCAGAGCGGCCATACCTTCTGTCTGTCAAGAGGCTGTTTGGCACCTGGATCTGGCCAGCTTCAGAAGCCCAGATGCTCTTGCATAGCACTAAGCCTATGACAACGGTTCAGTTTTTTACATGGTTAGAATACCCAAAATAGGATGGAAACGTGGAATAAGGAATTGGAGCGTTCAGTACACAAATGCCAAGGGACACCCATTCGGACATTTATGTCAAATTGCCATTGATGGAAATCCTGCTTACTTCAGCAACAGATGGGAATGGCTGCCACACACCTAGCTGGGTCAAGGAGGGGTTAATGCTCTCTGGGAAGACCTAAAAGAGGTTCTATGCAGGTTGTTCCCTTGAACCCCTTCACGGCATGGGGGCGGATATTTGTGGGACGGCCTCTTTCCGCAGGAGGGCCCTGCTCCGGCTCCCGCCCGTTAAGCCGGCCTTCGGTGTAGCAGCGCCTGCGCCCTGGGATTAGACTGGCCCCAACCCTGCTGGCCTCCCACAGAACCCTTGAGACCTGGCTTCTCTCTCGGGCATGTTGCGCTCCTGAGTTGCACAGACCTGTGGCCATTTTCCCTTTTGAAGTGTTTTTCTTTTTGTATTTTGCTTCCGTGCTGATGTTTTCCTTGCGTTAGCCGCCCGGAGTCGCTGGATGCGAGATGGGCAGCCGCATGACTCTAATAAATAATCCTCAGGCGCTTAAACCAAACTGATCGTGTGCAGTCTCCGCTCGCTCCCTCGGGTCAGCCGTGTCCTGGGACCCCTGACCCAGGCAGCTGCTCCGTTTTGCAACCCGCTTTGCAAGCTGCAGTCGGTTGCAGAGAGATTTGACTGGGTAACAACTGAGTGGGTTAGGTGGGCCGTGAGAATAAGGTGGCTGCTTTAGTTTTGTTGTGTGAACCCGACTATTGCGAACAAGCATGTTCGTTTTCTCAAGAACTTTTTTGCTGCAGTGAGGGAACACATTTTTGGGTGGAGCAGCTACAAGAACTGTATGGACTGGAATTACTCTGTCAGTGGTAAGTGTTCCCTTCTCTTTCTGGCTTTATTCTAGCTGAACATGACAAAAACAGTTGATGGGAAATCCACTTTTCTGCATATTCTTGCCAAATCACTTAGCCAACATTTCCCAGAACTCCTGGGCTTTGCCAAGGATTTACCCACAGTGCCACATGCTGCCAAAGGTAAAGCACAAAGGATGGGATTTTTTCTGACATCACCTGGTTTGTAGGGAACAGGGATAGAAAAGATCTGTGGGCCTCCGAGGTGTGCCCATTCATTTTTAATCTTCTAACCCCGATTGACTGAAAAGAAGAAAATTGGCTGAATCTGGAAAGAGAAGTTGCCTGAAATCGTAGAAGCTTCCAAAGGCTTTTTCCTGTCTTCACAGGACAGGCTGGGTCTATCCAATGTGTCTTGCTAAGGAAGGAAAAACCCGCAATCCGGTCATGGTTTCTGAAAATAAAGCCTGGGAATATTACCTATTGCATATACACAAGTAGCAATAGGGTAACAATAACATCCTCTACTTTGCATAAGCAAAACGGGGCCTTTCCAGAATGAGAAACTATGACTACCAGGTAGACTCATCCCATTGTCCACCTACGAGTCCTCCATATGGCTTGCAGGCTTCCTCCAGTGGCAGGTCGTTTGCTGTCCCCTCTAGCAAGTGACTCTGCCTGCTCCTTGCCCAGGGATGGGCACTCACCCTCAGCTTGTGGTGGGCAGAGAGAGGCTAGGAGTGACTGCCAAGGGCAAAGCGGGTGCCGGAAAAGGAGCTGGGCAGCCTTCCCAGAAGTAGGCAGCCTTTGGGTTGGTTCCTCTTGGTGTAATGTAATATGGGCGAGTCACTGCAGACTCCTTTCCTTGCTTCACTAAGTAGAAGGTGCAGGAGCTGTTGAAATTCTGTCCTTCTAACATTTTTCTTTCCTTAGTGAATCAGAGAACATTAACAGCTGACCTCAGTGACCTTCATCACACCATCAATGAGATTGAGATCGCCTGCCAGAATATGGTGCCTTCATCACCTGAGGACAGATTTGTGCCTGTGATGGATGTATCTTTTTGTTGAAAAGGGTGGATTTCTAGGAGGTGTTGCCTTTGTTCTACAAATAAAGTGCAAGTCCACAGGCTGTACGTTGCCCACCCTTTCCCCTCCCTATCTCCAGTAGGAGAGAATGGTGAATTTGCTTGCCCTGTCTCATCCCAAGAGCTCCCCCCAAGACAGTGGAGTGACCCATGGCTTGTAACTGTAAGTAGGAGCTAAAGGAATTCCCATTTACACGTGTGCAGTGTTAATGTTGGCATCAGAGAGGTCCCTCTGGAAATATATGGCTTCGGAGCTGGGTGGTTTTCTTAACTTTTTTTTTTGGTGCCTTCAAGCAGTCCTTGCAGCTTTCTTGGCAAGATTTCGGAAGTGGTTTGCCATTGCCTGCTTTCTAGGGCTGAGAGGGAGCGACTGACCCAAGTTCACCCATCCAGCGTTGTGCCTCAGGCAGGACTAGAACTCACGGTCTCCCAGTTTCTAGCCCAGGGCCTTATAGCCACTGCACCGAACTGTCTCTCTTTTTCTTACCTTAACAGACGAGAACGTAAGACGTGTATCCTGCCATGTGTTTGGGGTCAGGTTTTTTTTTTTTTTTTTGTGGATGATGTAATATTTCTTCTCTGACTTAACAGGAAAAAACAAGTACATGTTGCTTGTTCAGCCTTAACCATCCTCTGCAGGCTTTCCTGGAGAGCGCAGATCCCACCGTACGGTCCCTTGGTGATCTCCAGCATAAAGCCATGGAGGAATTCAGGAAGGTCTTATCCTTCTTTGGGGAAGACTCCAAGGTCACAACTTCTGAAGGATTTTTTGGCATTTTTGCTGAGTTCATGAGCAAATTTGAGGTGAGCGTTGGGTTTTATTTTATTCTTTTTGAGTTATATCCTGGTGGTGGCCTTGCAGCCACCAATGTCAGCCACGTGGACTTCGTTTCATTGTGTGCATTGCTCCTGGAGGATAAGGATAGGGGTAGATTGATCCCAGCGCGGCCTAAAACGTGGGCCTTTGCTGCTTTTCTTTCAGAAAACCCAAACAGACCTGACTGCACCAATCTGAGCTTTTTGAACTCACCATGTTCAGTAGAAACTCCTCAGTTGACGATTGTCACTTAGAAGCTGGCGGGAGACAGGAGAAGATGGCTAGAAATGTGTCTGGTTTCTCCATCTCTTGTGCTGAGCAGTTACACATTTGCGCTTGTTTTGTAGCCTGAAAAAGAATCCAGAAGGGGGAAAAAAAACATGCTGGGGGAGGCTTGAGGGGGAAGAGAGACTAACCTTTTGGAGAGGACTCTGCACATGCTTGCCCTGGCATTCTTCCCTCCTGTGTTTTCTTGCAAAGAATGTTCTTCTGATCACATGGCCGTTCTCTGAAAAAAAAAATGCTGGAGAAAAGAATGCCCCCACACTGCTGCCAATGTGTGTAGCATTCCTCCACAGGAACGGGGGGAAAGCTACTGCTTTGGGGGGCAGGGTTGGTGGAGTTGAGCATGTGTAGCCTAGAAAAGTTACGGTTGATACCTCAGTATCCCTGAGTCCTTTCAGCTTCCAAAAAGGAGCTCACCAATCTCTGAAGTTGTTCCTACTGCCAGGAAGATTCAGTTTCGTTGTTTGTAGCTTGAACCCATTGGCTTAGATCCTAGATGAACTGGCGGCCCCCCAAAGGTTAGGTGAATTCTTCTTCCCACCACTCCCCACTTCAAGTTTGCTTGCAAGATTCTTTTACTCCACATGAAAGAAACAGGAAAAAACATGCCTGAACAACACCGGGGGCGGGGGCTGCATGAGCACAATAGGTCTTCTGGAATTGAATTCCTCCTGTTTGGTGCATACTGGCTACCTCACTCACTCATCACCAGCTTGAGCCATCTTGGACTTGGTCACAGTTTGATATAGCAAATTATACTAGATGACTTGGGGAAAAATGGTCCACCCCTGAAGAGAAGATGCCTAGTAGCCCAGACCAGACAGGCTGAGAGCATTGAATCACACATTCATCTTCTCATAAAATGAGAAGTCCCCAGATGTTTGCAGTGTCCCTGTGCCCTGCATGTGAACATTGCCATGGGGCAGGGAGCATGTTATATGAGAAGGAAAATTGGGCTGCTCGAGCCAGTCGAGCAACCAAGGGGCCTTGAAGTGGCATGAAGCCGTTCTGGTCTGCTTAGGGTTCAGCCCTCTCCCCTCATGTCCTCTGAACAATCGCATCAGCAACTGCAGCTTCCACACTGTGTTCTGGTGCAAACAGTGGGAAGTAGCAGAAGGCAGCAAGAACCTGGCGTGGCCTTGAGTGCGGCGGCCTCTGCAGGCATCAGATTGGAGAAGCCGGAAGCAGGGGGCCTCTTTGGCTCACTCTTCAGATTTCAAGCTCTCATCAAGATCATCTTTGCCTTCTCCGTAGGCACCCATCGTGCAGTGAACTGGGGTGCGAGAACCAGAGGCGCTGAGTTGTCTCCTTCTGGGCCTCAGTCCTTACACCTGTGGAAGTGTGGTGTTGGGACTCTAGATTGTCTTGATGGCCTAGAACGCCCTTATGCTTGATAGCTGTCTTATGCTGCTCTCCCGTTCTCTCTGCAGCGGGCCTTCAGTGATGTGCAGGCCAGCGAGCTCCCATGCAGCCCGAAGATGGCCCTCCCCCCTTGCCTGGTGTCCGGACAGTTCAAGTGAGGATGCCGCACGGTGCTTTCTTGCCCACAGAGCGCAGCTGCTTCTGGTCCAGTCCGGCCGTCAGCACAAAGCAGTTCACCCCAGCATGGAAGAAGCACTGCTGGAGACCAGCAGAGGGACAATCTCTGTGGAAATTGTGTCTCCAAAAAAGAGAGAGGGGCTGGCTGCAGATTTCTAAAAACTTCTCCACTCCAGAGACGTTTCTCTTTTCCACAGGGATATTCCTTGGTTTGGTAAACCTGCGTGCTAGAATGAATCCAAGATGTCAAGAGGCATGGGCAAAGCTGGGCTTTCTTTCCTCCCACTTTTTATGGCCTTTCTGAAAGTTCCTTATTTCAGGGAGCTGTAACCAAGTCTGCATATGGCATTTGGGAGCAGCCAACCAGTTCAGGGGCTGCCATTTCTGCAGTTCCCTGGGAAACGCTGAGTGCCCCAAAACAAAGGCAGGCTTGGACTGGTGGCATGATGGACCCTTTGCCGCAAGAGAAACTGACCTGCCCCCTCTTCTCCCTCCTGGTCTCAAGGCGTCTGTGCCTGTGGTTGCAAACATAGCCAGCAAGTCTTAACCTCTTGTTCCAGGCGGTTCTCTTGCGAAAGTAGATTCCTAAATGAAATGATCCATGCAGGCTGGGTTAAATGCAGGATGGCAGCAAAAGCGGAGAAGCCCCCTAACCCAGCCCAATACCTGTTCAGCAGAAGCTCTGATGCCTGTTCCACACCCACTTCTGCTCTCCTGGTCAAATAGAGGGGAACAAAGTAGCTTATATTTTGTGTTAGTTACTTTATTTGCTAGTTTGCTGTCTCACCATTCCTCCAGGAGCTCAAGGCAGCTTGTGTGAGGAATGCCAGTCATTTTATCCCCAAGCAGTGACCCTGTGAAGGAAGTGGAGCTAGAAGACCCAGTGAGTTTCATGGATAAGGGTGGACTTAAACCTGCATCTCCCCAGTCCTAGTCTAGCATCTGAACACCATAGTGGTTAAGATCTGGATTGTGGCAAGCTTCCCTCTGATTAGCAAAGAGCGAGCTGATTGCTGCAGGCAATCATTAGGCCAGGGAGATGCTCCAGTCAGTTGGGTTCCCCCAGTGAGTGTCCAGTCAAGCCTTTCCCTTAACCCCTTAGTGGAGATTATTTGAGCTGGAAATGAAAAGCAGACCTCCTCTGATACCAGTGCAGCATCTCCTTGCCCATCCACCATGGCAGAAGCTCTGCCCTACCTTATCTGCCCTTGAGATCAGAAGCAGTGAATTCACCGTGGCATGGGCAAAACCAAGACTGTCAACAATGCTGGGCCTTAGTGGGCGCTGGCCCACCATTCGTCTTGTTTAAATAAAAATCCCAGTCCAATCATACCTTGCTGGGCATTCTTCATTCACTGCTTGGTGCCAGGTAGCCCCTTCCTTACGTAAACAAATGACTTGGGCTTTTCGTTTGAGGTTTATTTTGAAGTGTCACTCACATTGGCCCTCCTTGTCCTGGATGATACGTACGGAGCTCAGCTCATATTTTCAAAGAGCTGCAATTAAGTATTTTGAGGTTATTTCATGACGATGACAATGATCGTCCCTTCTTGTAACTTGTAATTTGGCAAGACCGTGGGGAGGGGCTAAGCTCTTCATTTCAAGACGCTATTTTCTTGTGATGTTTTTCAAAGACCGAAGATTGCAGCTGAGAACTGTGTATAGATGTGAGAACTGTGTCTCTGTACAAATCTTTATTAAGCTATCATGTAATAAAGAAATACCATCTCTGTAGCAAAGCCTGTAAGATGAAAACGGCATCGGTTTGGTGATCACATCTTTGATACCCGATCAAAGCCAACCATCCATAGAGTGAGGGACTGGACCAAGGGCTCTTCCTTCCTGCGTGCTCCTCCTGCCCTGTGGCACAAATCGCCCTCCCCCTGCGCTCCGTGTTGATCTGCGTCTGCAGCATCGCTGGGCAGAGCTGCCGTCCGCAGACAAACTAGAGTACTGCAGGCTGATTTCAGGGCATGGGCTGGTGGATGCCCAGGCATCTTTTCCCAGCCCGCCCAGGGACAGCTATTGGTAGGAAAACCAACCATCCATCTGTTTCCTGGAAGGGGGCCAAATTTTATTTATCAAGTCTTAAATTTTATTATTTATTTAGCCTTAATGTTATTATTTACTGTGTGCTACTTGTGATATGGAGACCATGAAATGATTTCATAAATGCTGCCATCTAGAAGTTGCCCAGATAATTGCAGGCGGGATTCAGAAATTTAAATTCCAACCTGCAGTAACCCTGACTACCTCTAGACGGCAGTGCTTGTGAAATGGGAAAAAAGGGGAATTTGATATTCCTGTCAACCCCGCCCCACCCCCAAAAAAGCTGATTTGAAATACGTATCAGAGAAGCTCAGACTAGGGAGCTCTCTGTTATTGGATTCTTCTTTTCTCTTTCCCTGTAAAGCAGTTTTTGATCAGGCAAAGAGCCTTCTCTTTCCCCTGTGTGTGTGTGTGTGTGTGTGTGTGTGTGTGTCTCACAGGCTTTCCCTGCTTTACAATTTCCTGGCACACAGTTATACACAAGTCCTCTGGAGCCGTTCAAGAGACTCATCCTTTTTCAGTTTCTTGGCGTACGAATCTCCTGTAAGAGCTGCAGCGCCTTCCAGCATCCCAACCTTCCCAAGAAGAAATTGGCGGTGTGCGCCGGGCGTCTGGGTGCTCTTGCAGGTTAGAAAAAAGGCCCCGGCGGCCCCGGGTGTGCAGGAACCAGAGAGATGGCCGGGCCTGGCCAGCTCACCGGAGGCTCTGCTCCAGCACGCCCGACGGTCTGGTTGGGCGCATGGAGTCCGGGTAGGGGGAAAGCACCACTTCCATGGCAGAACAGCCCAAGGTGACTTGGGGCCGCCGCAGCCATTGAGGAAGCAATGACAACCTTGTGAGGACGAGTCCTCTGCAAATGGTTAATGGGGTGCCTTTGTATCACAGCAAGCACGGCTGTGTGCACGGCCCTACGTCTAGCATGGAAAGTTTGATAGAAAAAGAAGGTTGTGGCACAAACGTAGGCTGGGTTTGTACCTCTCGCTAAAGTATAACGTGGTTTGTTTGGCTTTTGTGTATCCCCTGCCGTTGCAGTTTGCAAAACACACTTCGTAGCTTAGTGTGAAGTGGGAACCCGCCCGACTTGGCTTAACCAGCATCCATGGCCTCAGGTGGGCAGTAGTCAGGCTGTATCTGGGCTAATGGTAGAGTTGTAACTCACATATTCGTTACAATCCACATAAATGTGAAGATGACCCAGTTGGCCTTCTGCAAAAGGCAGATTTTGAAACTTGCAACATCTGGCAAAGTGCAGCGTTTATCTCTGTGACTGAAAGTGCCTCTCTGAAACGTTGGGCAATGCTTGCTGGAATCTTATGACTAAAAGGACGGTAGCTTTTCCTCGTGGCCTTTTCCCATCCCTTACCAGCTGATAAGCAAGACAAACGGAAGAATAACATGAAGTGAAACCATGCAGGTTGGCGCTGAGAGCTGCCCTGGGCAGGGAAGGGAAATTTCCCTCTCCCGTGCGTTGGATGAGAGGCGGCACCGTTCATGGCCACCGAGCGAGTTTGTAGCACCAGCTCTCCTGCCACCAAGAAGCTCCCTCCGTTTAGCTCATTGCTGTGGAATTAGGGAGGGACTTGGCAGGAACTCCTTATCTCGTCTTGAGAACAAGTTGTTTTATGTCGACGCAGCAGAATCTTCCTGGACCGGCCGGGTCACTGATCGTCAATGGGCCAGGGAGAGCCGTGAGTCTCGGCAACTGACCTGTTGCCTTTCTCGCCCTCCAACCCCCGTTTTACTGAAGCTTCTGCCTTTGAACTCGGCCAGGGAGATCGGGGGACGCAGCTTGACCCTCAGGCAGTGGGGACGGGCATTCAACAGCCAGCTTGGGGCTCTTTCAAGGAACTTATTTTGTTTGTAACCTGCTTTTCTTCCTGGAGTTCCATTTGAGTCCACAGTTCTGCCTCCTCCAATTTCCCCCAGACCCTGTGAGGGGGGTTGGCTTGAGAGAGGGAGTGTGACTGGCCTAAAGTCCCCCGGGGACCTCCTGTGGCCAAGGGCAGACTTAAGCTTGGGTCCCTTGGTCCTACTTCAACACGTTGACTTGCTGGATGGTTGTAAGAATCATGCCATACCAGGTGTGAAGGGGGGAATCTCAGCTCACTGTCCAGGGCAGCTGTTGGTGCAAAGTTGCATGATTTCTTTTCATGATTAAAACACTAGATCTGCATTCAGAAAACGAGACTTGTGGTCTTTTGGGGGAGTGGCAGTGCCATGCTGCACAGGAGTCACTCGAACCTGGGGAAGAAAGCTGGGCTCAGACAGGTCTGTGTTGCTGCTCCCATCACCATTGGAGCAATACAGATTCTCCACTACTTCTGCCAAGAAGGGGGCTTGCCATTTTTATTCCTTTAGATGGGGGTGCCCTTCTGCCTTCTCCAGGAGCTACCCCGTAACCTGCCGCTCAGGTGTCTTGGAAGTGGGCTGAGCTGTCCAGCCCTGGCGCCCAGGGATGGACCACATTTTAAGGAAGACAGCGGATGAAGCTGGGTGGGAGGGGGAAGGAAGCCGAGACCCCACCCGTGCCTTCCCTTCACTTGTCCTGCTTGAACTCATAAGGGCAGCACTGAGGCAGAGGGGCTGAGCTGGTGTGACAGCACCTGGTGCACCTGCGCCCTCTTCTGCCAGCTGGGGGAGATCCCATGACAGTGTCCGTGAGGAAGAGCCTTACATTGCCCAGCCCGGCCAGCACCATTGAATGGGCCTAGAGCAAAGGGCCACCTCCTGGTGGCACCCCAGACAATCATCCAAATGTTTTTGGGGTTGGCTTGGGATTTAACAGCAGGTTGAAGTAAGGATGCAGGTTGGCACACTCGGGTTAAAAAGCAAGCCGGCAAACCATCCTGAAGAATCCTGCCATCAAATGTTATTTTCTCTCCTGTTCTGTACTACCTGCCTGTCTGCAGGGTATGGTCAAAAGCCACGAGGGCAGACGCAACAGTGTGACCAAAACCCACCTGGTTTTTATATGTGCTGCACCCATGATGCACATAAAAACCAGTCAAGGTTTTGATTGCATCATCACAGCTGCCATCTTGCCTTTTCTGACCATGTTCTGTGGGTGCCCAGGATGGGGATTCCCCTTTGAGAATAAGTCCCATGCTAGAAATTACCGAAGGGAGGTGCAAAAGGCGGCTCATTCTCCACTAACGCCCCCTCTGTCGTTAAAAATGGATCCCCAGAAGAATAATCTTCAAAGCCAACCAGGCATGGTTGGGCAAGAGGCCACGCCAACGCGCCAGTCGTTAGAAACATCATGGAGGTCAGTTGTGCAAGCCCTTTCAGTGCGCAGTCAAGGATCAAACCATGTGAACATGACTTTGAACAAGACTGACTTCGACAAAAAGGAAGTGGAACCGTGTGCCATTCAGTGCAAGAGCGGTTTAATACACAGATACAAACTCCTCTTCCTGTTCCAACAACAACTTGATAAGTAACGTTATAAAATACAATTCAAACC